AACTATGTTATTTACTCGTCTCGCGCTGGCGATTCTGTGTAGTTTGCAAAATACTATGACAGCTTAATTATTTATTTCTAACGAAGTTCCCATGACGCAGGCGCATTGTGTCAAAAAATGAACTCCGCTACATTTTTTTGGTAATAATTGTCAAACAACAATAACGAGAATATTGTCAGATCTATGCAAAATATTTTCTGTTCAATTCTGTTATTATTTGCTTACTTTCGCACTGAATTACTTAGTTAAATCAAGTACTAAAATGAAATTAAAATCTTATGGACAATAGGTTGTTAATCCTTTGTTCAAAGGTATTATTGTATTAAAGGTACATATTTTGAAAGAATAATTAAATATTTTATGATAAAAAATTGTTTTTTTCCAACTCAGATGCAAAACTGGCCCTGACCTTGAAATGTTAAACTTTTACGATATTAAAAAGAGGAAAACCACAGAGTACTTTCTCCATAAACCCGCGTAAAACAAAAGCACAAACAGGAAAACACACGAGAACACATGTAAACGTTACAAAATAATTATAATTGCTATTCGTAAGGTTTTGTGATAGTAAAAATAGTGAACGGTAATGTATTTTTAACTTTGTTCTGGCCGTGACTTTTGGCTATATAGTTTTACATGATAGACAGCTTAGTCACTATGTTTTTAAAGTACATAATCGTATCATGCATAACTTACGGCAACACCTTTCATTGCCGAAAGTTATTACATTGTTTCCTATGACACGAGCGCCACGTGACAATAAACTAACGCGATCAGATATGGATCCAGTGCTGAGTTTAAAATGTTTTCTAGCAAGAATCTTCTTTAATTAACCAGCAGCTGTAGCCAAATGCCAATTAGCGCTTGTCTACTTATAGAATAGAAATCCAAATTATATGAAATTGACGAAAATTTTGACACCGTCAGTGTCATCCCCGTACATTTAGTTTTCTACTCTCTCTGTAGACTCGGAGCCGCAGAGAACCTAACGGGTTATTGGGGCCTCGGCTTGAAGTGTAGGAGTAGGAACAGGATGGTTTTTAGTTAGTAAGAGTCTGACACTCCCTCGCCTGGGTGAGGCGGGAGAACTCAATCGATGATTTTCTCTTCTTAAAAAAAACTCGGACCCATATACAGTTAGTCTATGCACGTACTCCGTACTCAGACAACGATAAATATCCGACCCATGATTTACTTTTTAATGAAGCAAAATTGGGTCACGATATGTACATCTAATGTGACCTACACGTGTAATTCTATGTTAAATGTACTCTGTATTGTGTTCAGAGCTATTTGTGATTGTAAAGCAGAAATTACAGGTGGCCTAACACGTGTGTAGTACATACGGCTTTGAACGTAATTGTCCTTCCATTGAATTCGAATGGAAGTAATAACAGCCTATTATACACTTTTATCCGCCCTTAAGCCTGATTAAGAGCAGAATTTATCTGTTGATTTAATAATTATTCGTTTGATTTATACTATACTTATATGCTGTCTCGTTGGCCAAGTGGTCGCAAGTGCGACTGCCGGGCAAGGGGTCTCGGGTTCGATTCCCGGGACAGGCAAAGTTTACTGGGTTTAAAAAAAAATATCAGTAGTAGCACGGAGTCTGAAATTGTGCCCGGTATATGGCAACAGGCTCACCCCCTATTTCACGGGACTTATAACATAAATAGTGAAAAGTGGGTGTTACTTTTGTATGCACCTTTGCCTAACCCTTCGGGCATAAAAGGCGTGATGTTATGTTATGTTATACTTATATGAATTTATCATTTTATTATTTTAACACGGTCGTTGCCAACCAAAATAGCAAAACCAAAAAGGTTAACTAAAAACAAAATATGGTCTGCGAAATGAGAAAGATATACAATACAACTATATTAACAATACCGCGATTAAAGCTCAAATAATATTTATGTCAGGAAAACAACTGCTGAACAACTGAGAAATTCAACAACTGATTACTGGAATTAAAAGTTACTATTTTTATGAGAAAGAACCTCACCACTTTGGAGAAAATCTTTGTGTCCCACAAAAAGTAACAGTAACAATAGTGATCCTTGATCTGACATAAATATTAGAAAAGTGGTCCTTGACCAAGAAAAGGTTGGCAAAAATCATGTTTCATACATTGAATACTTAAAATCAATTTTTTTGCAGTGGCAGTTGCGTGGACTGTTGAGCTGCACTACCGCTGTTTACTAAACATAACCATTATACCTCGTAAATAAAAAGGAACCGTAAAATATGTTGATAAGCTCGAAACTCCGGAAATCATCAGCTCGAGGATCGTTAATTCTTATATTTCTTACTGTTATGGCACTGGAAGGTTCTTTTGAAAGAAAATTTGAATCACTGAGTTGCTTTAAAGTTGGGTTTGTCGTTATTTACTTAACTCGTATACAATCACCCGATAAAAATTCCCAAAATTAGTTTATACAAAAGTAGTTTCTAAATTTCGGAAATAAGGTCTATATTGGAGTTACTGGAGAGTGGTCTCCAGTGACCGCTTGGGGATTGATCAGTACAGTGTATAGAAAGGGTACACTGATCATCTTTCATAAAGATTTCTTTTGCACAATGTTATGGTTACAACCATAACAAATTATAAAACCTAACCTACCTCAAAAATGTCACTATCTATCACATTTAAAGTAATCGTAACGAGTACGGGTTCGGCGCTCTGATTGGTTGGTTCATTGGCGCTGGCCAATCAGATTGCCAAACCAAATCGTAAATCAAACTCGTACTAAGGCCTCTGATTGTGATAACCGTATAACAATTCCTTTTCTAGTTTTTAAGTTTATCACTTTCTTATACACAGGCAGTGTAAGGCCCGTGAAACTGGGATTTAATTTTATAGGAAATAGGTATGGACTTAAAAAAAATACCAAATATTGATCAATCATAAATACACGCTACAAAAGAATTTATATTATTTTAATTTTAGTTATTTGAACAGTTGGAATAATTGATTGGAAAACAAGGATTTATTGTGAATATAAACGAAAGTATAAACTATGACAGAATTGGATAGTTATGTATGTACATACCTATAGCATCTGTTTTACTCAGGTGATATCTATAACCGAAGCAAATGTATTAGCAACAATAAGGCATTTTGTACCATAGTTTGACTTATAGTATGAGCAAAGGATTAAACAGTATAGTGATGACGAGCACAGGATTGGCAATGTGTGTATGTAACGTCTCCCGGGTATGATTTCTATGCAGGCTATAGTTCTATATTACATAACCTCACGCCTGTCTCCCATTGGGGTAGGCAGAGACTATTGACGGCCAATAGGGTAGACGACTAATTTTTATTTTAATATCCGTCTGGTAGATTATTTAAAAACATTAGACACGTATGTTTTATTTTCTTACGGAGACGAATAGTTTCGAAGATATATTGATTTGAAATGTCGTGTGACGTCACTTCTCAGTACATTTTATACTAAGAAATGACGTTTTAGCCCCCACTCCTAAACTTTGATTCGTTTTATCTAAGTATTGTTTTATTATATGACAAAATAAAAAAATACGTGTCTAATATTTTTTAATTACTTAACTGACGGACTAATTAGATTTTTAATTTTCATACCTTGTCATCATCCCTATAATTGTTACACTGACACTCTCTCTTTCGCTTCATCAACATTGCTAAATTATCAAATGTTTGTTACAGGTTTAGGCGTTATATAGAGGGACACAGGCGAAAATACTATAGCTATATAAATAAAAACTAATTTCCGTTCGTTAGTCTCGCTAAAACTCGAGAACGGCTAGACCTATTTGACTAATTTTGGTCTTGAAATGTTCGTAAAAGTCCAGGAAAGATTGAAAGATGAGTTTTTTTTTTAATGTGATACGAAGTTTGCCGGGTCAACTAGTTTTTGATAAATATTTATTACAAACTAAATTAAAGCCCAACTTGGGTTGCAAATTAAGCGAAATGACATGCCCGGTTCGGAGCAGAAGTTAGGACGGTGTGGTTGGTAGTCAGTAAGAGTCTGACATTCCCTCTCTCCTCATCCCGGGCGGGCGGAATCGTTTGATGATTTCTCCCCTCAAAAACACGGCAATATTAAAAAAGAATAAGTATATATATTAATAATTTGTACGCGCATGCGCTGGTTAATAGCCTATATAATTTATTCGACATTTAATTTACATAATTTAAATTTATTATAAGGACGATTAATTTCTAATCTGGTGAATTTTTTTAGTAAACATATTGATTTATTTATTTTTCAACCAGTTTTTTTTTTGTAGACTAACGAACTTTAGATATTCTACAGATATTTAAATGTAGGTTGTGATGTAACAAAATAATAATAAAGAATGTTCATATAACCAATCAATATTTGTTCATATTTTCGCTCAAAATACATAATTATAAAAGATATAAGATAAAGACGCAAGATTTTCGTATAAATTAATTTAAAACCTATACGACATAATATAAATTTCATTCAATCATACAACGAAATATAAATTTAGAATACTCTTTTAATATATGAATATTTATTTTAAAAATAAAAACTAAGCAATTGTAGTGCACAAATTATAAACCACACATTTTATCAACAAAACGAATTATAATGTCATTCTTTGAATAATTACGAAAAAAATTGTCGCGTCAGTATAAAATGCTATTAACTGTCATTAAATATTTTATTTCAAGTTTTTGTGAACACTATTCTGTGTATTGTTACATAAATAAGCTACGATTGAAGTAAATTGGCGAGGAAGTAATTTTAAATTCATTATCATTTTCTTGAGAACCTATTTGACGTAGGTACATACCTATTAGAAGATCTGTCTTCATTTAAAATGATGTGTTCGAGAAACTATTCGCAACAATTTTTGTAGTTAGATTAAATTTTAAAGTCTACCTACTTCTTGAATAATAACATCTGGTTAACAATGACTTCTTACCACGTTAGGTTAAAGTAACAAAAAGAAAATTAAACTGAATTTACGATTGAACTTACCTTTTAATTAATATTTATTCACAACCTTTTATCATCACACTTCACTTAGGCTTCATTTGCAGTGGCCCTTGCGTTTTTCTTAGTCTATTACAAAGTCAGTCTAATGAAATAAAACCTATTTTATTAAAAAAATAAACTTTCTTTTTTTAAATCAAATAAACATCAGTTCGTAACGTAATATTCGCAGTGTTCGAATTTTGAATAATATGCAAATCGCGCGCGAACTCCTGCGTCGCGATCCTAGCTGCGCGCGTTCGTCACTAGCGGCAACGGTTAGGTGATTGCAGTTAGTTCACACCGGCTCACATTCTTAACCATTTCGACAAGTCGGCTACGAGCGGATGTCCACAGCCAGTCGTGAACATCGTTGACCGTCAATAGCAATCATTTGCTTACACGAACTCTAGGAACGATCGATTGTTTAATATCAATTTGACAACAATAACTTCATTCAGTAATTTCGGAAAAATTATACTGATTCTAAGTATGGTAATAACAAAATTGTTTCGAGGTTTGATGGTGTTTATATACTGTAATTTGAACTAAAATTTCATGTCCATGACCCATGCAATGTTAGTTATATTCACCACCAACCATGTTGTATGTAATTATTTTCGATTTTAGGATTATGCTGGTTCGCACCGATTTATTATTACAACATCCTTTTATTGCTTCTAAGCTGTTGTCTGCGATTTAGGTCGTGTTGAAAACTGCTACCAATATTAAACTTACTGCCTATCCAGACTAAAGTCTGTCACAAATTTTTATCCAGATCTGGTTACCTATTTCGAATTGACTAACTACCAAACACCTAATACATCTCAACTTCATACATTGATCGAGAAGCAAAAACTAATCAATGTAATTTAATCTGCCTTTGTTGCACTATAGACTCAGATATCCTTGCTTTGAGTTCTAATTTAACAGAGCAGACCTAAATGATTGGAACAGGTAGACCATGACATATTATAACGTGTCCCTGCTGAGTTGATTGTAATTTGATAATGGAGTCTATATTGGTATTGGTACATTCTATTTAGTGCAGGACGTTAACTATTGGTAAATAGGTTTCATTGGACTAGGTTTTGTCAATAGTCACTATTGGCTTATATACTTTTTGATAGGCATCCTATACTTCACTTGGAAGCAAATAAATGAAGCCATTAGCGTTATTTTTTCAGTTTATCGAACCCTCTATAACTTTAAAAATTCCTTTATAACTAAATACTCTCATTTTTTTATGGCATATAAAAAACGAGCAGACGAATCACTTGATGATAAGCAATCGGCGTCGCCCATGGACACCTAGAACACCAGGACCGTTACAAGTGCGTTACCGGCCTTCTGGGGATTAGGAATTTGAGGATTGTTTGGGATGCGGGGATTTGGGAGATTGGGGGAGGGGAGAGGGAGCTGGGCCTCCGGTAACCTCACTCACAAGACGAAACACAACGCAAGCGTTGCTTCACGACGATTTTCTGTGAGGCCGTGTCGAGCCGGAGGAATTAAAATTTTAAAGGTAACTAAATTTCCTTTTGTACCTCGACATGTATTGTCTTGATGTAGCATAAAATATGTAAATCTGAACAAAGTTAGGTATTATTAGCTGAAAGTTTTTATAGTATTTAGGTACTTAATCGTCTTCTATTTGAAAACCAAAGTAACTATTCACAAATCGTGTCAAATGCAACAACCTTGCGTGACAAGAATAATTTGCTTTGCATATTCCATACATCATGCAGTTTTGTATAAATTTTCGTTTTCTGGTTCGCCTGGTCTATGATAACTTTTAGGTAGTCCTACGATAGATGTATGGTTCTTAACTAAATAAATAACAAAGACAATTAAAAATGAACATTCGTTCAATCAAGTTTATTCGTAATTAACATACCCAAGGCATTAAAACTTAATACTAAAACAGTAAACCAAAACTTTTACATAAATATAAATCTAAATTTTATCTTATTATGTAATCAAATCGTAACTTGTTATAATCACTGGCACGATAACATCTATATAATTGTTTACCTTATCTCTATTGATCCTTTTGAACGTGTTATACTTTCACTTAGAAAATAAACGTTAATGAAATCACATTTAGGTCTATATTACTTTGAGTTTTAAACCTTATCTTCGCTTATACCATCAACCTCATTGGTCTTTCCTTGTGGGAGTTCGTTCGTCACTATGTCCAAAGATCCGTTTTTACTTAGACCACAAGCGGAGAACACTTTGCTACCAAAATCATGTTTCTTTACACAATAAAGTACTATAATTAAGATAGTCAATAACACTACTATAGCACCAACAATGATTGGTGCACTTTGGTCCATATCTCCTTCGGTTAGGGCTGCAAGTTTTATATTTTCTTCTTTTAAGAATTTCTGAAGGTCTGCGAAGTACTGGAGAATACCCTCAGTGGATAACTCTGTTTCTCCAGTCATAGCTTGTAGCACTGTCCTCCAGTCCTCACTCGCACCCAATGCCATACCGTCACTGAAATTATGTTAAATGTTAATCTCTGTACAGAAATTCAATTCTCTTCTATTCTGATACTTTTCTTGAGCATTGGATGTTCCTGTGTGATGAGTTTTTTAAGCATCTAACTGAATTTATGAAATAATCACTAGATTCAGTAATATTAAAGATTTCGAAGTGGCTAAAAGTCATTAAAATGTAGTGTAAAAACAAGTAGGTATCACAGCTTTAATAAACACTTGACTAAAATTACACAAATCACGTCTTTATCCCCGAAGGGGTAGGCAGAAGTGCACATTACGGCACTTAATGCCACTGTACAATGTAACATCCATTTTTCACTATTTAATTTTATGATATGCGTCCCATGTAATAGAGGGTGAGCTTATTGCTATATATTAGGCACAATTCTAGACTCCGTGCTACTACTGAGATTTCTTTTAAAACTTAGTAATAATTTGCCAAACCAGGGAATCCAATCCGAGACCCCTCGCCCGACAGTCGCAGACCACTCGGCCAAAGAGGCAGTCTAGTCGAGCAATTAAAAGTAATTAAGCTAAAACAACTCTTATGTTATTCAGGCCACACTTAGCGTTAAGGAAAAGTTACTAGATGTCTAATGAAATTCGTATACGTATTTGCAATAAAAATGTTAACTACATTCTATGCCTCTTAAGGCATTCAGAATCAAAGATCAGAATCGTGCATTACATTAAAATTCAGATTAGCAACGGCTTCATAAACTTTAAGTGCTGAAGATTTTTCCTGTTTCCGCGAAAATATGACGGCAGTACTATAACCATGTATTTAAATATCACATTACTATCGTTTGTTGATTTTACAAATTGACATTGTTGGTCTGTAAAGGATGTCTGCTTTTTGCTTCCTATGGGGATCCCCTATCACGTTTGTATCTATCCTTTTGAAAGGTTTTTAACCAACCACAAAAACTGCTGACGGAAAAGACTGAAGTACTATTTCTTCTATCGATTTTTAAATCTCCGTATTAAGTACCATACTCTATCAGCACCTTATAAGGAGATTTATGGTTGAGACTGTATATACTAAAGTTTAGTAAAAACTGCCTCATTGGCCGAGTCGAGCAAGTATTACTGAGTTTTAAAAAAATCTCAGTAGTAGCACGGAGTCTGGAAATGTGTCCGGTATTATGGCAATACGCTTACTCCCTATGGGACTCATAACATGAAATAGTGAAAAGTGGGTGTTACATTGTACAGTGGCATTAAGTGTCGAATGTGTATGTGCACCTCTGCCTATCCCTTCGGGGATAAAAGGTGTGAAGTTATAGTGTAGTAAAAACTCTGCAAGCGAAAACTGTATTTTATACACTTTAAAGAAAAACATGCTTTTGTATAATATTCTATTCTATCTATATTCTCTTTGAATTTTACTAGTTGTATGAACACATAACTTATCTATGTGCGCATTGACATGACATTGTTGCGCAAAGAATCAATTGTATTAATTTCTCATGCATTTTAATTGAATTGACGATGTACCTTAGAAGTTTTCCTGCTTCCTTCACGCCATATATAGAACATTCGTGTAAAGGTCCTGTGTGATTCGCTTTCTTACAAAGTGACAAAAGAATCTGGAACTCCAATACGTGAGAAACTAAATATCTGAAAATAACATTTAAATGAAGTTAAGGAACAGATTGGTTACTTTTCAAAGTAAGGTAACAATATCAGACTATTTGTAACAGAAAATTTGATTTGATTGATGGCATACATCGCTGAATGATTAAAACAGTTTAAAAGATAAAAAATAATGACATTATTTTTCTTGTGTTACCAAAAATACAGTGACGACTTCACATCTGTCCGTACAGCCTGGTACAGCCGAATAAGATTCACGCGCATTTATTTTTGCATCGACTCGCGTCAATTCGGCAAATAATCAAGGGGCATTTTTTCATACGAATTTTTATTCTCAAAGCATACTTCCATAGTTTACACACAGTACTGCGAAAAACTTCACACGAATTTAATTTCATTGTACGTACAGGCTCTTAAACTAAGACTAGAGGCGTAGATATTCGACCAAGACGAAGAAACCTATTGCACAGTTCACAAAATCTATTACCTTGAATCGAAAGTGAACGTTAGTCACCACAGGCATTATACTTCATCACGTCTATATCTTCCTGTATTTTCACTCATTAGCGCTTTCACTAATAACTATATATATTATCTAGACAATCGTTATGTACTGGTATTGTATATACTTACGTAATGTATTGTACATGTGAAACAACATGATACTTCGCTGCGGGGTCAAGATCGGACTCATTTCTCAGTACGGGAGGTGACACCCCTGTTTCCTTAATTCTGAAACAAAAATGGCTAGTGAAATACTGAGTCATTTATTGTACTTGTAAATCTTATATGGGATATATTGCCCTTAACAAGATTGGAAAAAATAATGTCAATAATTTTGTTAAGATTCTATTGTTTATTGATGAAGTAGGATGACATTTACATTTGGGTAAGCAAGTAAGAACAAAACATCAGATGACATGAAGAATTTGATAGAAAAACCTATCTATTATTATTTAGAGACCAAAGCTGATAAGTGACTCTTAAATAGTAAGTGTTCTAATGTATTTTTAACAAAATTATTGTGATATTTCATGACCAGTATGAAAATTGTCATGATGTTGGATCAATGGTTGCTGCTAATGAAACATCGAATGATTTAGTCTTGCCATTGAAGAGGCTAACGAAAAATCATAACTAATTCAGACACGTGCCTATTTAAAAATATTTCTCTAATAACAACATCACGCCTTTTTATCCCCGAATGGGTAGGCATAAGTGCACATTACGGTATTGTAATGTAACAATCCCTTTTCACTATTTATGATATGTCTCTCATGTAATTGGGAGTGAGCCTATTGCCATATACCGGGCACAATTCCAAATTGCAATACTTTCTTTGACCTGGGGATTCGAACCCGAGACCCAGTCGCGCTTGCGACCACTTGGCCAACGATGAGATATTTCTGTAATAACATATTTTATATGTATACGTACGTACACTAAGATGTAACAAATAGATTTTAGTTAAGTAGGTATCTTATTAATTCAAAGTGCATCATTACCAATTAAATAAATAATTTTGCATCAATTAACGAAGGAGTACTGCAAATGACTGCTAAATATACTTTTACTGTGACCTACTCCTAGCTGATGCTACTAGGAGATTATGCTAATAAACAGGTATAATATACCGTTAGCCATTGCCTCTAAATGGATCATAGGCACACGGTTAGACTTGCTAATAAAATAATCAAAGACTGTAGTTAGAAGTAACGTTGCATACTTTAATTTGCATAATATTTAATATTAAATTTGGTTTTGGAATTGGCAAAGACCTTTATGGTACTCAGGAACATATTGATATTTATCGGAAACAAGATGAAACGTTTCCATGCTAATGAGAATAATTTTATTCGTTGATATCTTGTTATTATCAATGCTCGCTAAACTTCAGCTACAGCTGTGATCATGAGTTAAAGCTAAAAAAGAAGCAAGAATACTCTAAATGCGAAAGATTGTGAGGATACACAAGGTGTAGTTTTGAAACCGCGGCATTTTTCGGGGGCAAGTCATAAAGGTTCAATGTAAAAGAAATTTAATAGTTCAATAGTTAAAAATACTAATAATAATTCGTTTAAGTTCAACAGTATTTCAGAATTATGGACTGCCTCTTTGGCCGAGTGGTCGTAAGTGCAACTGCCGGGCAAGGGGTCTCGGGTTCGAATCCCGGGTCGGGCAAAGTATTACTGGATTTTTAAATATTCTCAGTAGTAGCACGGAGTCTGGAATTGTTCCCGGTATATGGCAATAGGCTCACCCCCTATTACATGGGACTCATAACATAAATAGTGAAAGGTCGGTGTTACATTGTACAGTGGTGTAATGTGCACCTCTGCCTACCCTTTCGGGGATAAAAGGCGTGATGTTATGTATGTTATGTAGTATTTCAGAATAAGTGACAGCAATGTTTCTTATTGGAGTTTTATGGAATTAGGAATAATATCAATTACGTGTTTGAGTTTGTGTGTGTTAAGCCACGTTACAAAACTAGTTACAAGACAGCGGCGTGTAGTTCGCACTTACAGATTTACGTAATTTAATTTAAGAAAAATGAAAAATAATTAAGTACAATTTTTTTTTATTGATTCGGACTCAAAATCTATTGCCTCCTAGAAAATGACGCGGCTTTGAAACAACACTTGTATTAACAACAACATATTGTATATAATATGTGTGTGTTTCTTTCTTTTTTCGTTTTCGTTACTCTTTCACGTAAAAACGGCTAGTGGGACTGAGATGAAATTTGGAATCTACCCCTGGGTAGATTATGGCCTGGAATAACATAGGCCACTTTCTATCCCACAGGAACACAAGCGAAGCTGCCGGCAAAAGCAAGAGTCAGGTATTAATGTCTATACTGTTCACACTTATATGGATCATAAGCCGATGACCAGGACTACGACTTCGAAGTGTAGGAGTAGGAACGGGGTGATTTTTAGTCAATAAGAGTCTGACACTCCTTCTCGCCTCACCCGGGCGGGAGAAGTCATTGGATGATTTACCCCTTCAAACAAAAAAGCCTATTGCCATATATCGGGCATAGTTCCAGACTCCGTGCTACTACTAACCGGCCCCTTGCCCGGCAGTCGCATTAGCGTCCGTTCGGCCAATGGCCAATGAGGCAGTCATTTATTAGTAGTTGTTTATTTACACTTCTGTATAACATGGAAGTCATTGGGGGAAGGTCTAGTAGTTCAACAGTGGGCGTCTAATGGCTGATATGATGATGATGATAATGATTATGATAACATACTATGCCGGACTTAATGCCGGGTGGCATTCCCTAACAGTCAACCATGGGACGATGCAGAGATCGGGAACAGTAGGTGTAACAACAGGTATTAGTGACTCAATATAATGTGACACAAAATTTTACATTTAACTCGTCGAGTACCGGTTTTGTAGACACAATTATAGAACAAAGGTTGCGGTCACCGGTGACCGCTTGGTGTTTGACAGTTTAAGGGATAAGTTACTCTAGTTTTGTTTACAAAATAGCATTCTCTTAATAATTATAATTTGACTTTCATAAGCATACAGCGACATCATTATACCGGCCTACATGAATATTTATGTTCAAATTGTTTTGACCTATTGATTTACATTTTTTAATAAAGAATCTGGTTAATGAGATTAAGAAACGTGATTGTTTTTATCCTTATTTTGACCACAAAATTGAATATTTATATTTCTTTCGCTATTTTGGTAGCACACAAAAATTTCACAATAAAAATAAATTGCAAAACTTATAAACTTAGTAATGAACTTATACACTATGATAGTACGATCATCGAACACAAATTATTCATACTCTATTACATTTTAACTTTTTATTAACATTATTTAATTAAACTTAGGACTTAAAATGTTAGCGTACATGCACTCACTTTCACAAAATATGATAAAATCTTTTTGCAATTTACTCTTTTTACATACTAACCTCAAATCCCACCAATGTTGGTTCCAATGATCCAAACTGCTGTTCCCGAAGACGTCCCACCGCCATTTATCCAGGACATACGCATAGGCCATCAATGGAAACTTTTCCAAGGCTACCCAGAGCAAGTGGTTCAGCGTCACTTCTGGACCTGTATCGACCTTCACTAGGTTCAGGGTTTTCAAGTGTTCTGGCGAGGTCAACTGAACGGCGACTATGTCGGAGATTGCATCGTGGAACGCTGATAAACACGATTATTATTAATTGTTTATTTATATTTTTAAAGCTTCGTGATTCTGATCTTGAATGTTTACATGGAATTGTACTTAGATCCTACACTAGCTGTACACCATTGTTTATTATGATAGTGATATTGTTTCCTGTTTTGTCCTGAACGTTGCAATAACACTATAGACGAGGACACCGTCCTAACATTGAAAATCTCTTTATTACCTTACCGTATACTTTTCTTTAAATAATAAAGTAACACTAATTCGAACTCCAGAAAACAAACATTTCAATTTGTTCAAGAGATTAAAGCAATTAAATAAACTCATCAGGTATACTCAACATCTAAAGCCACAGAATTAAGCACTACATCAAGATACGATCTCAGAGTCGGTTAGCAACCAAACAGTTTGCAGTGCAACTAGGTACTCGGATTTGCAACAAAGTAATGCGTTTCACTTTCTGTTTTCTTGTCTAGACGATTAATTAATAGTCACGGGTATAAAGTTTTCCCAAGTTTTCTAACAGCTGTTTCAGTGAGAGTGATGTCTTGTTAAGGACCTGGCAATTTCAAGTCTCGATTTACGATACAATAATGTTAACGTCATATTGAAAGGAAGTTAAATATTATTAGTGAACCACGACTTTTGCGATACTTCTTCCATTCGTAGAAGAATGTCTAGCAAAACACTACATCAGATGGTTAATTAATTTAGATAAATACGCAACCAACACGATCCAAACGACCGTCACTGACTCATACTATTAGGATTCTGGTTTTATACCTGGATTCGGCCCATCCCTATACAAAGGAGGAAGGTTTCTATAATGCTTGAAGTATTGAACATGTCCGAGTAGTCTTGCAGCTCGTGACAGACCCACCACTACATCTGTCACTTTTTCACCGCACCATTTGATTCTGAAAGAAACATTATAAATACATTTCATATAATTGAAAAAGAAACAAAATATTGCCTTGTTGGCCGAGTGGTCGCAAGGGGTCTCGGATTCGATTCCCGAATCGCCAAACTATTACTGGGTTTTAAAAAAAAATTCTCAGTAGTAGCACGGAGTCTGGAATTGTGCCCGGTATATGGCAATAGCCTCACTCCCTATTACATGGGAGTCTTATAATATAAATAGTGAAAAGTGGGTGTTACACTGTACAGTGGCATAATGTGCACCTCTGCCTAAGCCTCCGGGGATAAAAGGCTCTAAACAGACGGGCCGCTTTTTTATTGCTATCCAACCACAAATTGCAGTTCGGATGCAGTCTGAATGCAGTGTGCATGCAATGCGTGTCACAACTGCAATTGAACTGCAAACCACACGTGCAGTCCGATTGCAGTTCGATTGAAGCCGTGACAACTACTATTGCGGTCTAGAGCCTCATTTGTAGCCAAAGACTTTATTTGTTAGCAACGTAAATTAACATCGAGAACAGTACAATACTTTTAAAATATTGACTTGTAAGTTTAAAACTATGAAATCATTGGAAACACTATTTAAAAATAGAAAAAAAAGCCGGAGTGATACCACGGCCTCACAGAAAACCGACGTGAAGCAACGCTCGCGTTGTGTTTCGTCGTGTAAATGAGGTTACCGGAGGCCCAATTACCTTCCCCTTCCCCAATCTCCCCAATCCCTGAATCCCCAACGATCCTCAAACTCCTAATCCCCAAAAAAGCCGGTGACGCACTTGTAACGCCTCTGGTGTTCTAGGTGTCCATGGGCGACGCCGATTGCTTACCATCAGGTGATCCGTCTGCTCGTTTACCGGCTTATATATACCATAAAAAAAAAAAAAAAAAAAAAGAAAAACAGAATAGATAATCTAATTATACACAAACGTGTCTTATGATGAAGGTTAATCCTTCATGAAGATATCGAGAAATAAAACAATTCTTCAAGCAGGTAGTGCTACTAGGTTTAGTCACGTATTCACTGAATAGTTACATTAATTAAATGAATATAGAATGTTTGAGGTACTGAAGGTTGAATACAAAAAAACTATATTATGTTACACTTCTGTCCATATTAACATTAGATAAACATGAGTCGACGAAATTTTTTTAAGATATTGCAAATTTTTAAACCACCCGACAAAGGTGGTCAATGCTAATTAGATAGATTCTGAACTGATAATCTTGATACGTATGTAAGTCACTGATTATCCTACAGACAGTTGGTATAGAAAAATCAAGACGTACCTACATGCTATACTTTAGAAGTGATCTAGCAACGAAAAATAAAATAATAGTAGTTAATTGGGATAGTCCACGCCCAAAACATCGTAGATGGCTTTAAAGTATCAAGATTAAGGACATCTTGCTTTTTAAAGTCGAAACTAAACCAGTTACCCAAAATCTTGATCAACCTTAAAGGTTAGGTATTGATTAAAAAAACGACTTACTTGTAATTCACACCATCACACATATCATGACTGGATGGCAAGCAATTGGCAGTAGTCATTGTCTCTTTGATATCCTGATAGGAATCCTTAGCACTTTCAAATCCAAGAGATTGATGGAACTCGTCTACAGCATCGAACAGGTCTTTGGAGTGTATCGTCTCGTTTGCGGGAAGCTTAGGCCTTATGTAATCAGTGTATGCTGCTACCTTTGGATATATTGCCTGCCACTCTTGAGCCCATAAGTTACCTGAAAGTATTGGACCTTGTTATAGTCTAAAGAAAAAAAAATAAAAAATAAACAAAGAGTGAGTGAACAAAAAGCAAGCAGTTGAGCAACACCATGTTCTGCAACTTGATTTATTTCGTTCTACGCCTTGCTATGATATTTTTACTAGGCGGATAATAATATAGAAATATATCGTATCATATTTATCGAAAGGTGCGTATCAGACAGGCATTGCAGCAAAAGTTAATGGTGATAGCTCACCCAAAATATGAGCTGGAATCAATTTGTCGTTACTCCTCAAAACCTCTTTATATATAAACTTCAGTTTGCCTCTGACATAATTGTGTAGTAAGTCATAAAAGGGCTTAATCTCTTGCCAGATTCTATTCACAGTATTAACAAAATTATCGTCTTCAAATGCGTATCTCCACATATCTCCAGCATCAGTGAAATTTTCTGATTCTGCAACTCTATTCATTCTTACAACATAGTCTTTGAATATTGGACGTATTTTCTTTCCAGTTGTATCGCGATAAACCTTCCAATAATAAGACAATTCTTTTGTATCGTTGCTAGTTTTAAATATCGATATTACGTCTGAAAAGAAAATCGATTCTATTGTTAAAAGAAATTCTATTCAAACTTCATTTCAATTGCATTTAAAGCTTTCTGCGCAATTGTAATATATTTTTTATCGAGACGTTTAATAATCTAATCTTCTATAATACATATATATATAAATAATCCCTCTTTCCTTTAGTCACGGTATCACGCATGAATGGCTGGACCTATTCCACAAATTTTTTTTGTTGTATTTCTCAGTAATAGGAGAAGGTTCTTATGACTTTGAAAAAATCCTGAAAATCTTACGGGAACGCGAGAAAACGGAATTGCGCGTACGAAGTCGTGAGCAGAAGCTAGTTTCAAATAAAAATAATTGTAAGTGTAATAAGTTGTACCCTCCATAAACTGACTATTAAGCATTTATTAACACCAGGTGCCTGTACAGATTTGGTATCTACACAGAATTTACAACTTCCAAATTGTCGAAAACCACAAATCCTACCCCTACCACATTATAATTATAATGATTAGATAGATGGCCCGTTCTGGAAACATTCTGTTATATAATATGGGAAATATATTTTACTATAATCAATTTTATTAAAATCCCCATAAATATAAATAATACTGACTGACCACTCATCGTTCGTACCGAGTCTTCCGAGCCGCAACTTATATTGTAGGCGCACACTGTGACGCGACTCCAAATTCTCTGCATCGTGTCTATTTCTTCTCTTTGCTGGAATTAAAAAAAAATGCTTATTAGTATAATGCATTTTAAGTCTATATATTTTATTTATTTGTTGTATTCATTTAGTCCACTAAATATCTATCTGTCTCTATCTTTCTATCTGCCAAATAATTGTCTCTATGAGTTTGGTGGAACCGTGACAGTGGGTATAGCAAACTCTTTTATTTTTGCCACCTTTAATAAAATTCCTGTTACAATAGTGCTGCGTCAGTCAATTGCTAAATAACGAGTTTATGTATACTTAGTGCAATATAATTGAATATTCTAAATTCAAATAATACTTTAGTCGACTGAGGTAAATCACTTAGAAGCTCATACTCCGCTGGTGTAAATGTTACCTTTTAACCAAAAAGAAAAAGAAAATTTTAAACCAATATCTTTAAAGCAACAGAAAATAAAATCTTTCTCTCATCTAGCACACAACTATGATTCTATGAATAACGCTGATACAGATAGAGTTGGTAACGGAACAAGAATTATGTAAGTTAAACAAATTAATGCCTAGCAAGGGGATCGACCCCACGACATGTATAGTGACCTTAAATAGCTAACACCTAGTTTATAGTTCAAGACGAGCCGTTTTGGCCTATAAGGTCACACAGGAACTATAGTTTAGTATTTATTGGTTTTCTGTAGACTGCCTCGTTGGGCGAATGGTCGTAAGTGCGACTGCCGGGCAAGAGGTCTCGGGTTCGATTCCTGGGTCGGGCAAAGTATTACTGGGTTTTTAAATACTCCCAGTAGTAGCACGGAGTCTAGAATTGTGCCCGGTATATGGCAATAGGCTCACCCCCTATTACATGGGACTAATAACATAAATAGTGAACAGTGGGTGTTACATTCTACAGTGGTATAATGTGCACCTCTGCCTACCCCTTCGCGGATAAAAGGCGTGATGTTATGGTTTTCTGTACTAGACTGTCTTGTTAGTGTATTATCTATAAGGACCACTTTTAAGTAAGCTAGGATTCCGATTTCAGAATACGAATTTTCAAACTAGTACAGTCTAAAATTAATTTCACCCTAATCTAAGTGCAGTTTTCATGTATTTACATTATTGTATCTACGGTAGATTATTTCTAAGTTAAAATGTAATATTACACCCATTTTTACCTATAAAATTTCATGACAAATAAATCCCTGTGCGGAAAGAATCCAGACTCCGTTCTTATTGGATTTAAGGATCTCGAGTGAGACCGAATATAACTCGGAAATTGAACTTGGAATTTCATATACAGCAATATTACAATTGAAAAATAATAAAATGTAATTTTAATGCCTTGTTGACTAAAAGATGTAAAACTCGATATTCGAGTGGTTAAAGTGTTATTACATTTTCTTATACGATGTTTGACCATGGATTGCACCCCACTCCGACGATATTAGGAATTTAGCAAAGCAATTTAATAAAAAATATCTGGATTGATCTGGATGTATCTGATATAATTTAGGAAGTAATGTAAACATCTACTGACGCATTTATGGATATGTATATTGGTTTAATAATGCTATGTTAAAGCATTTGCCTATATTTCCCATATTGTATATATGTATATTGTTAAACTGTAGGCGTATTTAACCGGTGTTTATGTTAAATTCCAAGATAAACTTACTTTACTCTGCGGCATCTGCACATTCGTTCCTCGTTCCTTGATAATCCTGATTTTCCGTTTCATCTTTGGGTCATTCATTACTTGTTCATCGTTCAAATATTTCTTTTTTAGTATATTCCAATACTGTTTCTTTATTTCGTCTTCTTCGGCAGCAATTCTAACCTGAAAAACATGACCAGGAAATATTCATAAGCTCTTGAGAATAATTTCATACATATAAGTTCACATAATCCGTATATAAAATTTTGTGTAATCCTTACCATTTTATTCTTCTTTGTTTCGTTGTTTATATCAGTAACATAAGACCAAAGAGCCTCCTGTGATGTTTTGCAAACATCCAAACTTAGTTTATCCATCTCTTCCATAAACACGTCGAGGCTTGCGTTAACTTTATCTAATTCATCTAATTGATATTTAAACGTTTCTACTATATCATTTGTCTTAACAATTAATGTATTAGGATCTAGTACTGTTCTCATAGCATCATCTAGAAATTTCTTTTCCTTAACTTCATCAACATCTGTTTCTACCTCATGTCCGCTTTCATCCGATTGATCTAGCGTTTTATTTGCCTTCTGCAGTTTTTCATCTGCAGACATATCTGACGTCGGATTCGGTGGAAACTGTAGCGCTGATGACGATGAAGCTATTATTAGAAGACATGTTAATTGCTGGAACAACAAACGCTTTATCATGGTGTGTCTTTGAAGCATTGTTTATCAATACAATCGTTTGTCTGTTGAATATCGCGGCTTTGACGGCAGGATGTGTGACTGACGTGATGGTTTCCGATACAGTTCAATAGAGAGCTTAAGGCCAATGTTAGACGTATCTGCCGTATCAGATATCGTGTGAGAACAATCTAACAATAGCCTAAGTGCACCAACGTACCTAGTTGAATAATGACTATATCCTCCTTCTTGTCTATCTTGCCTAGTGGACTCCTCGCATCGTAACAACTAATTCTGAATCGCTGCAAGTTATTCATGAGATTTTTTATTACTACTTCCTCTATATTGTGGTCGAGAACGATTGATGTGTTCTTTCTATTATATCCGCACCAAACTTAATATGTAGGAATAAATACTTGCATTACGTATCAATATCATAAGTAAGTAATTGGATGATCTCATCTCAGAATAGTAAACAAGGAAATTGTCTAGGTAATTTCAATATTTCAATTTACTTGCAAAACATTTATGGTACAGTCAGTAATGTCGAATATTACAATGGTTATCAACATCATAAAAGTGTACTTACTTCGACTTATCAAGCGCATAAGTTTTAAAATAACAGGGCACTATAAACGGAAGTTTTAATCGCAAGCAAGTACCTGCCTTATCACGATATGAAATACACTAACAACGTAGGAACAGTCTTGAAACGACACTTATGTTTTGGAATCGACTATGTTAAGAATAACAATAATGTTTTAGGTAAAACAAAAAATACCCACTAGGAATATCATCATGGTAGCACAATCCACAGCTGTGTCAACTAGTACAACACATGTCAACCGCAGCACTGCACCCACCACATTTTCAGTTCAAGAGGACGAAGGAGAATATCGTAGGTATCGTGTTACGCGAACCAGCGCCAGGAGACGACAACGCGAGCACAGCACACTCTGCGTTTCACTTGTTGCTAGTTGTTTGTGAATACTGCGATGTGTTTGATCGTTTTGTGGTGGATTTTTCAAATTGGAACAATCGAACGGCTGTTTTGTTTTGAAAACGTGGAACGGTAGCGCGGCGCGCGACCCGCTTGCATGCGCCGACGCATTGTTATGCCACATAGAAATGCCTACCTCAATTCAATAGGTCCACGGTCCGTTCTCGTGCGACCGGACGTCGCCCATACTGTGCCAACTCCTTATTACCGTGCTTTGTTTCTCGAATGGTTAACGCCTCATTTAATTATACCTCTATATATTGGCTATATGAACTTTGCGATCCTAGTACAACACAACATGTACTATGCTACGCTTACAAGTAATACAAACATTGAACCAAACTTCCATGTTCGTACCTTGGACGTAAAGCTGTGTTTTAGGAAACTCTATAAACATTGAATCACAATGTACATACATAATATCGGTTTTTCTTTACAAATTAAAAGGTGTTAGCTTGGGTGATGCTTAGGTGATGCTTGAGCGTCTCTTCCTTCTGTATTTATATCTAGGAATTCTACATCCAAAGAAGGGCGAATTTTGTCTCCACTTTTGTAAAATAAAACTCACCGTATAATTGAAACAGATCTATTTGTTACAAGGACATAATAAACAAATTACATAAAACATGTTCAATTAATAAATAATAAACATTCAAAACCTGTGTATCCGTAAAAAAAGAAATCTAAACATTTATAACAGATAAACAAATAAAAAAATACATAAATAATGAATCTCCTAATCTTTCTTTAAGAAATTTGCAAGCATCTTAGCTCCAGCTACATCGACGTCTTCGTATCCATATGGCTCAAGAGCTTTCTTGGTCCTTTCGAACCATTTCATGAGGTTTGGATGGCCGCTCATGTCGTAGCCAAAAGCCTGTCAATAAAAAACAGAAGGCTTGTTAAAGAAATGCGCATCATACAAAATTTACTTAATAAGTATCCAAGATTTTTTTCTAGACATAGTGCACCTACTTAATTCTACTTTTTTATATTTCATGAGCCGACGTTTGACTACTATTTCGCTTGGCAGTATGCGATGATGCGGCCTACGATGGAGTACATCTAGCCACAAGCAACCTATTCACTTGGGCCTTGAAAACACCCACACCTTAGCAGTACACACAAGGAAGCTTGATCGTAATCTAAAAAAGGATCTAATTCTATATGTAATACCCCTGGCACGAAATAAACTATCACAATCTGACATTACTTTATACAGCTTTCTTTTATAAGCCATGGCTAAATCAATACGAAGCTATTTTGCCAGCCTGTAAAACAACAGGTGCTTTCAAGGATAATTTCTTTCTGTATTATTAGGGGTGGGTAATCAGACAGCACTTAAGTTGATATTGATACCAAATGGCACTATAATGGTTATAAATAAGTATAGTTCTAGGTCTAATTAAAGTCGTACATAAAAAGAAGTAGATAAAAATAATAATAAGCTGGAAACTCGTTGTTCATTTATCATTTCTTTTCCTAAAACCTAACAATGAATTAGTATCATAATGGGGTCACAGAAGATGCAAGTCAAGTTTATTTGATAACAGTAGTGATTTGATTAAATAATTTAATGATTATCTCAGAAGCCAAATGCCAATACAATTGATCTCGCGTAACACACTTACAAGTGCACGTTACGCTTCCCATATAAACACAAGCGTACAATACCAATGTTTGTCATCTACACAATGCTTGCATAAAAGGTATTTTGCATTCGGATGTTGCCTTAGTATCTCTATTCATTCATCTGACACAATTCTTCCAAGAATCTTTACTAACATCAACATCTACTCTTGTTATATGAATGGTAAGAAATGGATTATTCAATTTATTGTCATTCTTTACTGCCTTTAGGATTTTTTGCCTTTGACTGCCTCGTTGGCCGAGTGGTCGCGAGTGCGAGGCAAGCCGGGCAAGAGGTCTCGGGACGATTCCCGGGTAGGGCAAAGTATTACTGGGTTTTTAAAAAAAAAATCTCAGTAGCTGCACGGAGTTTGGAATTGTGCCCAGTATATGGCAATAAGCTCACCCCCTATTACATGGGTCTCATAACATAAATAGTGAAAAGTGGGTGTTACATTGTACAGTGGCATACTGTACACCTCTGCCTACCACTTCAGGGATAAAAGGCGTGATGTTATGTTATGTTATGTTGTCATTCTTTACATGGAATATAAGGGATTTTTTCCTACTATTGTATTTCTACTTCAATTTAAAACATGTGACTATGCAGCCAAAGTATTTGCTATGCCGCAAGCAGAATAAAGATTGTTTCAGTATAGAGACAATAGTTATTACCTATTCACAGCTTCATTGCCAGTAGTACCTTCGAGACACTGTCTGTTTAACTAATTTGATTATATTAAACGACGAAGTATTTTCTCGGTAAGTAATAAAATGTAATTACTGTTCTATCATCTCATTAAATAATTCACTACTGACTAATTTGTTTATAGTATCTCTATTGTCACAGAAGCATTTCAGAGAAGTATTTATAACAAAACTACTAATATCGATATATACCCACGTTGCATAATCATAGTATAACATCATCACGTCTTTTATTCCCGAAGTGCAAAGGTGCACATTACGACATTAAATGCCACTGTACGATGTAACACCCACTTTTCACTATTTATGTTATGAGTCCCATGTAATTTGGAGTGAGTTTAATGACGGTCACAATTCTGTCCTACTACTGAGATTTTTTAAAACCCAGTAATACTTTTCCCAACCCGGAAATCGAACCCGAGACCCTTTGACCGGCAGTCACGCTTGGATAATCATGTAAGCATATTACACTCGTACATTTAATCAATTGCTTTCTAACCTCAAGATTTGTGATGGTAACGATGATAGAAATGTCAGCGATGGTAAGATTGTCACCAGCGACGAAGGCCCGTCCATCGAGGAAGGTGTTCAGCCAGCCAAGGGCCTCGTCTAACTGGTCAGCCTTCTGTTCATCATACTCTTCACCACGAAACAGCATGGGTAACTAGAAAAAAGCATAGTTCTAGGAATATACGTATGTATATTCATTAATCATCAACAGCCTATAAGTGACCACTGCTGACCAAAGGCCTCTTCTCACCCGAAGAAGGTTTGAGCATTAATCACTACGCTTGCTCAGTGCAGATTGGCGATTTCAACCCTATAATTAGAAATTATAATCCTCGGTTTCTTCACGATGTTTTCCTTCGCCGTTTGTCAATGGTGCCTGAATAATATTAAAAAATACATATAGCTCGGAAAATGTCACATTGGTACTTGCCATTGGTAGGTTTCAAACCCGCACTCTCATGCATGAGACGGGGGCGTCTTAAACCTCCGGGCCACCACAACATTTACCAACTAAGATTATCTGCCATCCAACTCTAAAAAGCCAGTAACGTATTTGTACGTTACGTGCTCTTGCGGGTCTGTATTGGAAAGATAATGCTATATAGAATCGAGTTCAAAGATCCGATAATCCAGATATATTACGAAGAGGACTACACATTAATATGGTACTAAAAAGTGTCTGATGACTCATTTCAGTTATGATTTACATATCCTCATATACGGACGAAGTGTTATTTATATTGGCACCGAACCCACTGACTGCCGGAACTGAGGCCTTAGTATGAGTTTGATTTACGTTTAAAGTATTCGAAACGAGTACGCGTTTGGCACTCTTATTGGCCGGCGCCAATGAAGCAACCAATCACAGCGCCGAACGCGTACTCGTTACGATTACTTTAAACATAAGACAAACTCGTACTAAGGCCTCAGATCATTGTTGCTTGGCGGCGGTGGCTAATCAAGTGTAATGTAGAATGTGACACACGTTAGCGGTATAGTCTGTCTGTACATACATATTTAAGTTTGAAGTGATTTTCATTAATGAATTATGCTACATTTGATGCAAACTCTAATTTTTTAATATCCTACACGATCGTTATCTACTAGAGGTACATACTTATTTATACCATCACAATTGCCCATCAACAGTTTACAATGTGTTGTAGTAATAGGGTAGTTTTCTAAATTCTCTTTTCTCACAAAATTAAATACTTTCGACGATATATTAAATTGAAATATCGTGTGACGTCACAGCGTGCCACATTTTGTAGCACGTTATGACGTAACGACTTCCCATTCCTAAACTAAGCGCAATTTTATGTAAGTATTGCAACTGAATACGAGAAAATAAAAAATACGTGTCTCAATAAAAAATACGTGTTTTTAATATCTAACTGATGGACTAATTAGATTTTTAATTTTGATACCCTGGAAACTACCCAATTGTATTGTAACAATTTATCTATACATATAATTTAATCGTAGGAAAGTCAAAACATGTTTTTTTTAAAAGAATACTTGGGTGTGAAAAATGCAAAAAGAGGTCTTTGGTCAGCAGTGGCTACTTATAGGCTGTTGACGGTGTTAGTGGGTAATCGGTAATCTTATTTATTTCTTCTTCACACTAAATTATAGTGAATGGTGGACTTAATACCTTAAGGCATTCTCTGAAAGTCGATCATACATAGCGAAGTGCAGAGAAATGAAGCGGTTGTTGCGACGTCAGAACACAATTTTACTACCTTCAGTTGAAAAAGTGATAAAGTTGCGTTTCATCGTTCGACACATAAATAGACACCAAAGACATTTAAATACAATACCAGAATATTTTCTTTTGTTTTACAAACCGAAGGTAAATATTAATAGTGCGTTTCAGTGCTATATGAGTCAATTTTATTTTAGAACTTACATAGAGAGCAGAATATCGTACGTAAAGGGTACCAAGGTCGAAGTTCAGGCGCTGGTCGACAATAGCTCGCTGACGAGGGTTCTTCGGGTATAAAGTGTCGTCGCGACTATAGGCATTGGCGAGGTAAGCCAGTATTGCGCGGCTGGAAGAAAGACATTGTGAAAAGGTATGCAATTTTATTAGTTAATACTTATAATGAATCTCATGTTTTTTTTTTTTGCAAATCAACTGGTAATGTAAGGTATTATCAAACGTACCTCTCCCACAAAATGAATCCACTGTCGTCCATGGTCGGAATCGTGTGTTGTGGATTCATCTAAAAATAAATAAATAATATTGCATTTGTTTGCTAACCTTATTAAAAATATTTCAGTACGACAAAACTGTAGTACTTGATATTATCTAAACGTTTATGTATGCACGATCAGTTAAATTCTATAAATATTTTAATTTTAATTCCACAATAACAAGTTTTTTTTATTATCTATTGTTCTAGGGACTTTTCTTTGAGGTACATGTCAACTTTGTGAAAATAAGTTTAATAATAAATGAAGGAAGTGTGGGAGAACCATGCTTCGGTACGAATGGGCCGGCTCGACCGGAGTGATACCACGGCCTCACAGAAAACCGACGTGAAGCAACGCTTGCGTTGTGTTTCGTCAAGTGAGTGAGGTTACCGGAGGCCCAATTACCCTCCCCTTCCCCAATCTCCCCAATCCCTGAATCCCCAACGATCCTCAAACTCCTAATCCCCAAAACGCCGGTAACGCACTTGTAACGCCTCTGGTGTTCCAGGTGTCCATGGGCGACGCCGATTGCTTACCATCAGGTGATCCGTCTGCTCGATTACCGGCTTATGCCATAATTTTTTTTTTATAAATTAAGTAAATGACTAAAACTAATCTAAATAGGTACTGTTAAACGTTAAACAGTTTTAGTTCACAACTTAAGTTATAGTTCCATAGAATTAATGACTATTGAATGGTATTCCACTACAACGTATACTAAATTAATCCGATCTACCATAAAAATATTCTATACTTAGTTGCGACCAAATGTAAATATATTTCAGTCGCCGATTTCGTGAAAAAGGCAACGCAAACATGATTTATTGGTAGCGCAAATAAAAATGTGAGTATAGCACGCGATGTTGACAATGTTCATTCTATACTATTATAATATTGCTAGGTATTTGAATTCTTTTGAATTTACTTTAACAATGATATTATTATCAAGCAATTATCTAGTTCCTAGCTGATTCTCAGGCTCCGTTCTTGGGAACTGTAGCTTGGAAAGTGATATGATTTAATTCACTATTATCTTAAAATTAAACAAATATGAATGAATGAACACAACAACGTTACAATCAAGAACCTATTTATCGTTTTTATAAGATATTTTTTATTAATTTTCTATGTTTTAAACTACGACACACCTCTTTTGACTACGAAATAAATACAATTTTTTAAGAAAAAATCTACAAATAAATTCACTGCACCTTACTTCATACCTTAAGATATTCCGGCGTCATATGATGTCCTTCCATGATATTAGTTAAGACCAGATCCAGGTCGACACCAATCACCTTGGCAGCCATGATGATGGACCGGCATGGTGGAGAAGGTGGAAGGTAGTACACCTTGATTGGCTGGTTTGGCATCTTGCTCTTAGAACGTGCTGCTGCGTTGCTGTTGAAAGATGGCAGTACCATTGTTAACTGTAGATTAATCGAGTTTGTAGTTTGTTACTTTATCTCCGAATGGAAGAACAAGTTGTGGGATTATTGTTTTGCTATTGTTAAACAGAGAGCATATTGTTAAATCGGACAAATCAGAGTCGTTGTTTATAACAAAAACAATCCGAATAAAGTTGATCAATGTTCTATAACGGTGTTTTGATAAGACATTCGAGTTTAACAATCAGTACTCGAAAATTAAACAGTATAATATAACTGCAAACAAAATGATACCCCTGATCTCCAAAATTTATGAGTGGGAGAGCCATGCTTCGGCATGAACGAACGGGGCGGCTCGACCGGAGTGATACCACGGGCTCACAGAAAACCGACGTGAAACAACACTTGCGTTGTGTTTCGTCGTGTGAGTGAGATTACCGGAGGCCCAATTACCCCCCTCCCCAATCCTCGAATCCCCAATAATCCTTAAATTCATAATCGGCAAAAGGCCGGTAACGCAGTTGTAACACCTCTAGTGTTTTGAGTGTCTAACCTAACCTAACCTAACCATCAAATGATCCGCCTGATCGTACACCGGCACAAAAGAAACAAAAAAGTACCACATAACATAACATCACGCCTTTTATCCCCGAAGGGGTAGGCAGAGGTGTACATTATGCCACTGTACAATGTAACACCCACTTTTCACTATTTATGTTATGAGTCCCATGTAATAGGGGGTGAGCCTATTGCCATATACCGGGTACAATTCCAGACTTCGTGCTACTACTGAGAATTTATAAAAAACCCACTAGTACTTTTGCCCGACCCGGGAATCGAACCCGAGACCCCTTGACCGGCAGTCGCACTTGCGACCACTCGGCCAATGAGGCAGTCAAGTACAAAAAAGTACCCTTTATGTATTATGTCATTCTAACAAGCAACGACAGACACATACAGAAATTCTAATAGAGGTTTCAAATCACCATCAAAAACTAATAGTAAAATATACAAATATTGACAGACTAATAACAAATTAGCACATCAAATAAGTTAACACATCGTTATAGCTACATGATAACCACCAATTTATTTTAACTACGACAATCATAACGTTCAACTACTGTTAGTATATCAGTTAGTAATATAAACTCATCATGATGAGTAAACTACCCTTTTAATGAATACTTAATTCAATACTCATCACCGTCAAAGGTCTAATGGCCGATTTCATAAATCACTCCAAAACCATCCCTTAACTAAACGTTACTTAGCGTAACGAAGAGCCTAAACTACTCCTTACTTTTACTGTTAGTTGTCACTTAATGGTAAATCACTCCAAAACCACCCCTTAACTAAACGTTACTTAACGTGACGAATAACCTAAAATACTTCTTACTTCTACAGTTAGTTGTCACTTAATGGTAGATGAAAACCGAAATGTTTGTTAAATATCAGCTACTTTAGCGTCCTTAAAATTTAGGAGAATTTGGAAACAGGCTCATTCTGCGTTTTTTTTAAATGAATAGGTACATACATTACACATTCACTGAGATTTAAAAATGAATCTAAGTGGTAGCGCGGAGTTTGGAATTGTGCCCGGTATTATAGTAATAGGGTCACCCCCTATTACATGGGACTTATAACATAAACTAGTTTCTGCGACTTCGTACGCGCAATCCCATTTTGCTCCCGTTCCCGTTCGTGATTTTTGGTAAAAAGTAAAAAAAGAGTATTCTATAAAAAGTATCCTATGTCCGTCTTCTGGTTTTAAGCTACCTCCTTGCCAATTTTCATCTAAATCGATTGAGGCGTTCTTGAGTTATAAATAGTGTAACTAACACGACTTTCTTTTATATATATAGATTGTGAAAAGAGTGTGTTACATTGTATAGAGGCATTAATTTTCGAGCACACTAGGCGTGGTGTTATGTAGAGGTATTATGTATATATATATATAGTGTAGATACATAAAAATGTAAATAATATTATAGGTACAATCCAGTAATTACATTGTCATTACATGATATAATGGAAGATTGCAATCGTGCACAAACTATGACAAAAACTTGCAACTATACTATCGCGTGCAGATAAATTTCAGTGCTGAAATACTTCAGTAAGCAAATCATAAACCATGCTATGGTAAACTTTAACCTTTAAATATTTTAATTTACATTAATATGTAGCTGGTTATTTTTAATGATTTTGGAATAGAACAAAAAGATATTTTGTAATTTAAAATCCCTTAAAATATGTTAAATGTAACTTAGAAAATTATTACTTAAAACGCAGTACCACCCTGGTTATAAAGAAATATTTTTTCCAAAAATGATACAAAAATCCGTCCGTCACCCTATTCACTCAAATATCACTTACCTAGGAAGGTTTATTACCAGACATACAGCAATTAAACATGCTAAGCTTTTCATGATTTTATTAATTATTTCAACAAATAGTTTTATATAAAAACTTAGTTGTTGCCGTCTAGCGAATTGCTATTAAACCTAAAGAAAAAATAAACACAAAATGAGACACGAGAATTATATACTTTTTATTTTAATATCACTAAGTTTATTTAACTTGAAATAATTTCAATGCAATGTAATTGAATAACTAAAAAAGAAACTTTTGAAACTCTAACTTTACAATGTGCAAAAATTAATGAACCTCGCAAAAAACTCACTTTGCCTTTTGTATTTTTTCTACAACAGTTTTGTCCATGCATTGGCCCAGTTTGAATAATTTTAAATCAAACTAGCACAAACCAAATTTAATTCAAAATTAAATCACCAAATTTTATTTCAGAAATAACCTACAGATGACCGAACAAAGTTAAGTCAACTCGCGTAGTTCCGATTAAGCTTTCTACGGACGACGAACGAAAGTCACTGTTTCAACTGAAGTCCACAGAAATACTGATTTATAACTCTGTTATGATTGTGAATAAGACCTGTTATGGTGTATGGGTACCATAGCAACGATGGGCGGTGCCATCACAACGACAAGTCATGGTGACTATCAAATCACGATCGAAATGTACCATCTACCTGTAATTTTACCTTACATAAAGGATTGTAATAGGAACTATGTGTGTGTGAACAAACACAGTATAGTATTAAGATGTCATTGACAAATATTGTCCAGGTCATGTTGAGTTGCATTCAATTAAGTTTAGCACTTACTTCAAGTTTCATGTGTCAAGAAATCTTAATGAGTCAGAAGTCTGATGGAGATTTAATGAAGGACATTGGACCAATATTATTAGGCCATGCAAATAAGATTTTAAATTTAAATGAACTACTGTTTTTGAGATTCAGCTGTTTTTTCATGCATGGTAGTCTATCAACACAATGATGAGAATTAAATTAAGCTCGAGTAAGATAAAAAGCATCTATGACTAAACTGACAATCAATAAAGAAACTCAATTTCTGTTGAGTCATTTTTTAATGCGACAGTATAGTTTGTCCTAGTCTTGTTAACTTAATTCCATGTAATAAATGACGAGACTGTACCTATACACTAATACCACATGTATTTAGGAAATTCACCTAAGATTAGACAGTGGCTAATCCTTAGGTTATAAACCTACTTTTTGCTAATTATCTTTTAAATTCCATGTAAGCGAAATATAATATTTTGCTATACAGGGTGGAATGTTGTAATGCCACCTGAAGAGAAAGTTCTCTTAATACTTAAGATACAAAATTTTACTTAAAGAAAACATTCCTTTATTTTTGAAAAGAAACAAAACTGCATGCAAAGATTTTTTTTTTAATTAGCTTGCCTCACACGGTAATCGGATCGACTAAAATCTGTCAAAGTTTGCACTCTGTACTTTTATTGCATCGATCGTTCATTGTTTTCCTTTCATTAAAATGAATGCAATAAATGTACATGGTGCAACTTTAACAGATTTTAGTCGGTTCGATTACCGTGTGCGTCAAGCGAATTTGAAAAATCTTTGAATGTAGTTTTGTTTCTTTTCAAAAATAAAGGAATATTTTCTTTGAGTTAAATTTTCTATCTTAAGTATTAAGAGTACTTTCCCTTCAGGTGGCATTATAAAATTCCACCCTGTTTTCTAATTGAAAACGCTAATACATTTTTATGATGATACTCATAGCGATACAGGGGAAGAGCAAATGTCTAAATATTCGTAAATAGTTTTAAAAATAGAACAGTCTAGTGAACCAATTCTTCTTTGGTTGCTCATTAACGTTGGATTTGTAGATAAAAGGATTACGTTCCTCCAAATCGACCTTCATGAGTGCACGCATGAGGAATTCAGATAATGTTATGCTAACTAATATTCTGTTTGCTTAATTATTCATTCCTACGTCAGTCGATCTTGAAACTCTGAATCATCGTGAGAATGATACAATGTAAACAGCTCATGACTGATCACTACTGGATTAAGAGCTCTCTTCTACATAATTATGAAGGGATTGCGAATTGCTATAATCTTTACGTTTGGGTCTGTTGAAATATCCTTAGCAGCCGAAACTAAGAATCGATAATCAAGGATGTTGAAAAAAGTCACGGACACAGTCTCTTGAAAGAATGACTGTGGTACCAGCAGCTGTAGCCAAATGCAATTTAGCGCTTATCTATTTGTAGAATAGAAAACCAAATTATATGGAATTGACGTAAATATTGATACTTGTCAGTGTCATCCCCATACATTTAGTTTTCTACTCTCTCTGTAGACAAGCGCTAAAATGGCGTTTGGCTAAAGGCACTGGTTACTATAGACTTTGCGTGTAAACGTAGAACATAAACACATCGACTTGAAGGATATCTATCATTTTCTTAAGTCTAGTAACGTGGTAACCCATTACACATTCGGAGTCGCGGAGAACCTAACAGGTAACCGGGGCTCCGGCTCGACGTGCAGGAGAAGGAACGGGGTGGTTTTTAGTCAGTAAGAGTCTGACACTCCCTCCCGCCTCACCCAGGCAGGAGCAGTCATTCGATGATTTTCCCCCCTTAGAAAAAAAAAGCCCATTACACATACACACATAAATACACCACTGACAGTATGGTGCTTAAATAATTTCTAAGTGACATTGTGTGCGCCTTTTTTCAACGTCCTTGATCTTAATATAATACCAAGTCTTTGACAGGAATAACCAATGTTAAAAATCGGTCTTAATTAGAATTTTGAATTGAGATCAATTATAAATTCAATTTTTTTAAGGGATAAGCCGGTCAACGTCCCGACGGATCACCTGATGTTAATTGGTAAGTAATCGGCGCCGCCCATGGACACCCGGAACACTAGAGGCGATACAAGTGCTTTACCGGCCATTTGCTGGGGATTCAGTTTGTTGGGGATTCAGGAATTGGGGAGAAGGAGGGGATATTAGGCTGCCGGTAACCTCACTCATACGACGAAACACAACATAAGCGTTGTTTCACGTCGGTTTTGTGTAAGGCCGTGGCATCACTCCGGTCGAGCCGGCCCATTCGTGCTGAAGCATGGCTCTTCCACACTTAAAAAAATGCATGTTTAGTACTAGCCGATACTACTATATCCACAATGTGGCAAAACGAAGAATGACATATAACATCATCATAACATCATGCCTTTTATCTCCGAAGGGTTAGGCAGAGGTTTAGATTATGCCACTGTACAATGTAACACCCACTTTTCACAATTTATGTTATGAGTCCCTTATAATAGGGGGTGAGCCTATTGCCATATACCGGGCACAATTCCAGATTCCGTGCTACTACTGAGAATTTTTAAAAACCCAGGAATATTATGCCCGACCCGGGAATCGAACCTGAGACCCCTTGCCCGGCAGTCGCACTTGCGACCACTCGGCCAGCGAGCCAGTCATGACACACATGGTACATAATGTCATTTGTAAATTAGGTGTAACGCTAATCTTTTAATAGTTTGTTATCTAAAGAACTATGCCGCGTCTTGTTACTCATCGGTTATCACTCAAACCAAAACAAAAGTTGAACGGGTTATGTGGGTGACACATCTTCTTTATCTTACAGTATGGTGTTCTCACGGAATATAGAATACAATGGAAGTAGCAAGTAGGCGTGGCACGCGTGCCACAGCTAAGCTGTGTACTGCTTACTCGAGGCAAAATTTGAGTTCAGTCTCGTTCGAACATGGCGTCGAGTTGCTAGTCTCGTGTCAAATACATATTTCCTCAACTATGCCGTTTTGTTCCGTTTTGGCGTGTAAAAATGATAGCAGCCGAAAAATCGTAAAAATGGAGGTGTTCCGTATCATCGGTAAGTACAATTTTTATTGTTTTCTTGTAGAAATCTTATTTTATTTCAATTTACAAAAACAGTTATTAAAATAATATTATTTACTAAAACGGTTAGTCAAAATCAACCTTACGCCTTCAAGATAAAGTTTATTTTGGATTTATTCCATTCAATAGAACATTCTCGCCAGTTCTACGCTACTCAAATAGTTATGTAGTCAAATCACATATTGAATTTATCGATTGATATCGATGCAAGTGTAATGTAACATTTATTTAGATTATTTTTTTATTATTATTTTAGTGGTGACCCCGACGTGATTGGAAGCAACCTTCACTTCACGGAGCAGATCAGCACCGTCATCCTTATCGCCATCCCTCTCATTTATCACATTATCCATATAAAGTTTGTAAAAATTTATGTAATAGTTGTTACTTATATTGCCTATGTGAAATAAAAAAAATGATTTTTTGAAAAAAGAAACTAATAAAAAATACGAACAAAATGGTTTTTGATTTACATGTAAATAAATACTTACCCTTTTTTGTTACGTTTAAAAAGTTATCAACGACATATTAATTTTATTATTTTAATACTGTCACACTATAGCAGTCAATTTTTTTTTTCATATTATTTTAAAACACATTTTCATATTATCGATATTATTTTTATCGAATTATCCTACATCACTATCTGAGTAGAGACCCGCATTCGAGCCAGTGATAAGCCATTCAAATATCACCTTTATTCTTACAACGTTAAAGTTCAAACCAAGTACCACTTTTCGTCGCTAGATGGCGTACTTGGTAGTCCAAAACATACTTTTTTATTTTGATTTATAGTACATTGGTTTTAAAGTTGCATATCGTATGATATTTTTTTTGCATTTCGTTTACGCCCATTTTTTTTCTAACCAATCGTAATTTCCGATTTATAGTATGAGTAAATTATAAATGTATTAGTTTGGCGACACCGGTTCTGGCAGAAATATTGTTTCAAGCTACTTCCATTGTATTCTATATTCCGTGGGTGTTCTCATGGATAAAAATACATCACTGTCTTGTTTCACAGAGGAAAACTACTATTTAGTGAATAAAATTCAATTAGTATATTGTACCCATAACTAACAAAGCTAGATTTCTAATTATATCCTGTTTACTCTTTTGTAGCTATAAATATTGTATCACTTTGTGCGTATGAGTGTTCATTAAAAATATTTATATTTTTCAAATACATAATTACAAACACTGGTATAATTTAAAGGTCTTAAAACACCTTAGTATCACTCGCCATTGTTTGGATGTCTAAGGGCCAATATTTCCAACGCCAGATAAATTTTAACTGAGTAATAACTTTGAATATTTGTATTGTAACGTGTAAAAAGATACTATAGTATAAAATTTCCTTCCACGTGTACAGCAAAAAAAAAAACTCTGAAATGTCATTAATAATGTTTCCTCAGTTTTGTTTCAAGTAGATCTGGCCTATAATGTATAAATGGGTAAACGATCAGCCCTTTATTCCTCTATCAGACATAATAAAAGTAATTCACACGAGTTCATGTTTTATACAAAAACAGTACCTACCATTTGAAAAACAAAACACCATGTTTCCTGACTCATACCTACTCATTGTTACAGTACATTTACAGTTGATCGAACTTGTTACACTTCGATGTCAAAGTTTCCTTAACAGCA